ATATGGGTATATTTACTTAATCAAGCACAAGTCAGAAACGTTTGAAAAGTTCAAAGAGTTCAAAAATGAAGTGGAGAACCAATTGGGCAGGAAAATCAAGATGCTTCGATCCGATCGAGGAGGAGAGTACCTAAGTCTTGAATTCCACGACTATCTCAAGGAATGCGGAATAGTTTCGCAATTGACGCCACCTAGGACACCGCAGTTGAATGGTGTGGCAGAAAGGCGTAATCGAACCTTGTTAGACATGGTATGTTCTATGATGAGTCGTGCTTCACTACCTATCTCATTCTAGGGGTATGCCTTAGATACTGCCGCCCATATCCTTAACCGAGTCCCTACAAAGAAGGTTGCCAAAACACCTCACGAGATGTGGACAGGGAAAGCTCCCTCGTTGGCACATATCAAGGTTTGGGGTTGTGAGGTTTTCGTAAGAGAGACTCACGACAAGCTCGAACCTCGTAGTGAGCGATGTATTTTCATCGGCTACCCGCAGAGATCCTTTGGATATCTCTTCTATAGACCGAGTGACAATGTTGTCTTCGTTGCGAGGAGATGGGTTTTCCGAGAGGGAGAACTCATAAGCCAAGGAGACAGTGGGAGGCAAATCGATCTTGATGAGATTCAAGAGTCGAGTGATGAAGGAACCTCGAACGCTAGCGCTCAACCCGAGGAGGAAACTCCGGTTGAACCGATTGAACAATCCTTACCTCTTAGACGTTCCGAAAGAGTTAGAGTTCAACCCCAGTTGTATGGTTTTCATATTACTACCGAAGGGGATACGTATATTAGTGACAATACACTAGTAATTCTAGATCAACCTAATAGCTATAAGGAAGCCATGGCAGGCCCAGAGTCTGCTAAATGGAAAGAGGCGATGGACAGCGAGATTCAGTCCATGTATGACAACCAAGTTTGGAAATTGGTTGACAATGTACCCGGAGGTAAGACGGTTGGGTGCAAATGGATCTTTAAGAAGAAGACCGGAAAGGATGGGAATGTGCACACGTATAAGGCACGATTGGTGGAGAAGGGCATTACTCAAACTCTCGGAGTTGACTATGATGAGACCTTCTCACAAGTTGCCAAAATAAAATCTATTAGGGTGATGCTAGCCATTGCTGCATTTCATGATTATGAGATATGGCAAATGGATGTTAAGACAGCTTTCCTTAATGGGAAGTTGGCTGAGGATGTTTACATGGCTCAGCCAGAAGGTTTTATCGATACGAAACATCCCAATAGAGTGTGCAAGCTTGAGAAGTCCATTTATGGACTTAAGCAAGCATCTCGCAGATGGAATATTTGCTTCGATGAGAAAGTCAAAGAGTTTGGATTTGTACGAAGTGAAGATGAATCATGTGTATATGTCAAAGCTAGTGGGAGTATAGTTAGCTTCCTCTTTTTGTATGTCGATGACATACTACTCATGGGAAACGACATTCCGACTCTACAGGAAGTTAAGTCTGGCTCGGGAAGTGCTTCGCTATGAAGGACCTCGGAGAGGCTTCCTATATTTTGGGAATAAGGATAGTGAGAGAACGAAGTAAGAGACTAATAGGACTTAGTCAAAATACTTACTTAGATAAGGTACTAAAACGTTTTAGTATGGAAAACTCGAAGAAGGGAGACCTACCGATACAAAATAATGCCAAGTTGAGTAAGGTGGTGTTTGTTTTTTCTCCACATATCTGTGTGGGCTCTTTTGTCTGCGCGGCGCAGACTACGAGCAGATTTAAAGGTTTGCAGTGTGTTTGTTTTTTCTGAAGCGCACAGACATAAAAACGTCTGCGCGAGGTCTTCACCACACAAACTTGGGCCAACATCTTCTAACGTCTGCGAGTGTTTTAAACCTAAAAAAAACGCGTCTTCTATTGCATCCGCCTCCATCATCAAACCTTCCCACGATCCACAGAACCATCCATCTTCAATCCATCGACCATCGATCCATCGACCATCGAAGGCATCCCTGTCACCGATTAGCACCCCCGTCGCCGATTATCACCCTCGTCGCCGCCTGCTCTCCGATCGAAGGCATCAGGCGCGCATTTGGACTTGTACAGTGATTGATTCAGGCGACTAGCGTCGACCATCGAGGCATCCCCGTTGCCGATTACCACCCTCGTCGCCGCCTGCTCTCCGATCGAAGGCATCAGGCTCATCTCGAATTGTATCGCGATCGATTCAGCGACCAGCGAAGCGAACAGGTATCTTCCTTGCGTTTTTTTTAGTTCCAAATGAAATTAACATGAAATTGATGATTAATTGGGTTTTCTTGTTATCCCTCCGCCAGTGGTTCTCAATCAAACACCCTTCCAGTTTTCTTCAAGTACTTCTCTATTTGGAATTTCCACTCCAGCTTTTGGCATTTGTGCTTCAGATGGCAAATCCGGTAATTCCACTATCTAGGTACACCTCCACCACTAGCATATTCTTGTTAATTGTTATTACAATAGATGTATATCTGATCCTTCACAATATGCTATTACAATACATGTATGATACATGATCAGATTAGGTTTTTGCATACAAAAAGAATGGAACCAAAGTCATGTATCATGTTTGATTGATATTCTGGAAAATAATATAAATATATAGAGCCTGTTTTGCTGAAAATTAAGAAAATTAAAGAAAGTCTTGCCTTTTCTTTTCATGTTTATGTATCATAAGTAGTGCAGAATCAGAAGAGTAGAAAGTCTTGCAGTGAAATAATGCTGAAAATTAAGAAAATTAAAGAAAGTCTTGCTGTGAAATAATGTTGTCAATTGTGAATTGTTTATTGCTGAAACGACCCAAAAATACGACCCAAAAATTTCGTTTTTAATACCATCAAAACTATAATCAGAGTATCATATAAATAAACCATGCGTGATATGCCCCAAAATATAATAAAGTACTGTGCGGAAATTGTAACATACTATATCAAAAACAACAACTAAATCAAATCCAGACTAAAGCTGAAACGGTGGTGTGTGCGATGCCGTCACCCAGAGCTCTTCCCTTTGCTTGCGGAAGTACCTGAAACCAAAACTGAAACTGTAAGCACGAAGCTTAATGAGCTCCCCCAACTTACCACATACCATACAACAACATATAAACACATATTGGGCCTTGCCCACTACATCGGGCCGGGGCCCGGAAACTGCATCGGACCGAAGTCCGGAACTGACTGGGACCTTGTCCCCTGCATCGGACCAAAGTCCGGAACTAACTGCATCGGACCGGAGTCCGGAACTAACTGCATCGGACCGGAGTCCGAAACTGACTGCATCGGACCGAAGTCCGGAACTGGCTGCATCGGACCGAAGTCCGGGACTGACTGCATCGGACCGAAGTCCGGAACTGACTGGGACCGTGTCCCCTGCATCGGACCGAAGCCCGGAACTGACTGAGCATAGCATAGCATATCATAACAAACATACTGCATACTGCATCGGGCCGCAGCCCGGAACATAAAACACATAACACATAGCACATGAATTATGTCTGAACCACGAAGGCATCAAACATACTAACTACTACATCGGACCGAAGTCCGGAAACTACTACTAACTGGACGGGCCGGCATTGTGGCCTTAGACCCGCCCCTACGGGAAGGAAACTCACCTCGTAAGCTAGCGGATGAGTGTGTGGCTCGGAAAGCTAACGGCTGCTACTCCTGAATCTCCTCGGCTACAAATCCATAAACACACTCAATCAATCACTAACACTACACTCAGGGTAAAATGACTCTTTTACCCTTGGTCAAAGTTGACTTACTCAGGGCTGACTCGCCGAGTCGGGATACCCAACTCGCCGAGTCCTAGACTCTCCGCTCAATTCTTACACGCTGATACTCGTCGAGTGTGGCATCGACTCGACGAGTACCCTCTGGATCCATGAACTCAGATGATCTTCATCCGACTCGCCGAGTCAGATGAACAGACTCGATGAGTTGTTCTTGATCCTCAAGAAGATTGCCTTGGACTCGCCGAGTTGCATGAACAAACTCGCCGAGTCCCTCCATCACTGAGTCTACTCTCAACTCGCTGAGTCCACTCCCTAACTCACCTCGTCCACTCGACACTGATGAAACTGAAGAACTCGGGACTCGCGACCTGACTCGTCGAGTCGTTCATCCGACTCGCCGAGTCGCCGCCATGCAACATATTTTTACTCGATTTCTCTTGAATCCAACACATGCAAATGATAGATCTAGGTCCATTAAGCTGTTTTACCACGTAAAGTTTCCAACTTTACGTGCACAACCACATGAATGAGGGAAATAAGACTAAAATATGCACAATAAGGGTAGATCCATGGCTAATATGCAATGTAACTCCAAAAAGACAGTGGATCTGGGCTCTACAACACCCCAACACTCAGATCCAAAGGTATTTCGGCTTAATAACACATTCAAGCAAGCATAAAGCTTGGAACAAGCATCAAATAGCCCTTAAAAGAGCTCTAATGGAAGTTTAAGCATGAACCAGAAGAGAGCTCCGAAAATACCTCAATAAGTTCACACTTGACCTTGGATCTTGGCACTAGAACTCGTTTCCTTGCTTCCTTCTTCTTCTCCTTCTTCACCCCTTCACAAAATGGAACAAGATCACTTATAAGCTCACAAGAGGAAGGTTTAGGGTTTCTCACAGTGCTCTCAGGGGAAAAGTGACGAGATGGAGGCTATAATGGGGTTTAAATAGTGAGCAAACCCGGGGATTTAGGGTTTCACCCAGACGGACGGACTCGCCGAGTCCAGGATATGGACTCGCCGAGTCGCCGGCTCCCGCGTGCACAAGATGCGCGACCCGACTCGACGAGTCAGGCTAGAACTCGCCGAGTCCCTCTTGAAAACTTAGCCCAAAACCAAATTAATTAACATACCGGAAACGGGTCGTTACAATTGCTGTGAAACAATGTTGTCAATTGTGAATTATTTAATGCTGTGAAATAATGCTGGGAAAATTTGTGCTGAAAATGTGAAATAATGTTTTCAACTAAGGATATCTAACAAGTCACGTGAAAATCACACTTTAGTTGTTGATTGTTTATTGTTATTTGGTTTTGAAAATACTCTTGATTGTTTCAAATCATTATTTTTTTTGTAATCTATATGATATGCAATACTTTATGGAATCATATTTGTCAATTTGTGAATGCTACAATACCTTATGAAATTATTATTGTCTATGATATATTGCTTATTAGAAATGGGAGAAAAACAACAATGGACCAATGAGCTTTTAAAATGCTTATTGGATACCTGTATTGAAGAAGTAGAGAGTGTCGGTAGAAAAGGATTGAGTTTGCAGAAAGACTCATGGATAAGGCTTGGAAGAGTTCTTAAGGAGAAATTTGGGTTTGAGTTGAGTCAAAAACAAATGAAAAACGCATATGACAATTTGAAAGCCAAATACACAGGATGGGTGTATTTAAAAAACAAAACTGGTAATATATACAACTCTCAAACAAACACTTTTAACTTAACAGCCGAGGAGTGGGATGATTTTAAGAAGGTATATACACATTTATATATATATATATATATATATATATATATATATATATATATATATATATATATATATATATATATATTAAACATTTATGTTTGACGTCGCCAAATATTCTTATACTATTTTTTTGTTACATTTGGGTTTAGGGGCATCCGAAGGCTGCTTCATTGAGAACAATTCCACTGCCTTTTCCAGATCTTTGTGCACGTCTTTTTGATGGAAATAGTGCTACTGGTAATTTTAGGAATTACTCAACCCAATCATCATCAGTAGCTGGAGCATCGTCTTGTCGTCTTCCACCACTTCAGATTACCGCCACCCCTTTACATGCAATACATGATGATGGTGATGACACTTCCCACCATGAGCCACCACCTTCTGCTGCTTCACCTTCTACCGCTTCACCTTATGCAGCTTCACCTTCTGCAGCTTCACCTTCTGCTGCTTCACCATATACTGCTTCACCATCTGGTAACCCCAACAAAAGGGCTAACCCCTCAACTCCTATACCTCCTAGTGCCTCACCGTCTGCTTCTTCACCTGATGGAACTTCTATTACTGGTGACGATTTAGCATTAGAAATGAAAAAAGCTTTACAAAGTTTGACTAAAGGGTATACAGTCCCTCAATGTTTAGAGAAGTTAGAGGTGCTTCAGTTAGGCCCCACCGATCCTTTGCGCTTTGTTGCATATCATATTTTTGGAGGGACCATGAACATGAGAGAGATGTGGATGCATTTGCCCGATGTTCCTGAGATATTATGAGGATGGCTTGAGATGACGGGTACAAGTTTAGGAGTTTTGAAGGATGGAAAGATTGTCCAATGATTGTTAGGTCTTTTTGCCTTTGTTGGAACTATTTTGTTAGGTCTTTTTTCTTTTCTTGGAACTATTTTTTTGTTATGTTGCTACTTGGAATATGGTTTATCTAATGTTTTTTTGGTACTTGAAATATGATTAATGTAATGTGTATTTGCTACGTCAAATATAGTTTATGTATGTTTTTTTGCTACCTGAAATATGGTTTATGTAATTTTTTTTTTGCTACTTGAAATATGATTAATGTAATGTTTTTTAAAGTTCTACTTTGTTGATTTTAGGTTCATAATGGATCACGATCAAAAGTTACTTCTCGTAATTCTTATGTACCTGTACATCCGTTTTTTTTTGGAAGAGGGGTGTGAAACGATTGCGGGATAATGATTCGGAAATGACAGGACATGAATACACATTGGAGTTGTTACATCGTAATCGTTTACAATGTGTTAAAGTACTACGCATGTCTCGTGACTCTTTTGTACGACTATGTGCTCATTTTAGAGCAAATTATTCATTAAAGGATAGCAAACATGTATCGGTTGAGGAAAAGATGGCCATGTTTTTGATGATGATCGGCCATAATCAACGTTACGTGATTATCAAGCGGAGATTTCAACACTCGAAGCAAACACTTCATAAATTTTTTTATGAAGTGTTGGAAAAAATGATGTTTTTCGCACAAGATGTTATAGTACCAACTTCTTTTAATCCGAATCCAAACATTCCAGGACATAATAGGAGGCTACGACGGGTTTTCAAAGGGGCGGTCGGTGCACTTGATGGCACTTTGATACGTGCTGTTGTCCCTGCTAAGAAACAAGACTTGTATAGAAGTAGGGGAAAGGGAGACTGCTACCAAAACGTATTGGCAATTTGTGACTTCAATATGATTTTCACATTTGTTGTGGCCGGGTGGGAAGGGGTAGCACATGACTCTAGAATATTATCAGAAGCAATAACCGATCCACAATCATCATTCCCATTTCCACCACCCAGTAAGTTTTTGTTTTTTTAAATTCTATTATCTTAGTTTGAAAATTGATTAGTGTTTTTCACTTTTTACAGAAAAATATTATCTTTGTGATGCCGCATATGCACACACTCGAGGATTTATGGCCCCTTATCGTAATGTGAGGTATTGGCTTGGAGATTTTCGTCAACGACGTGCAATGACCAATAAGGAAAAATTTAACCATGGACATGCAAAACTTCGGAATGCCATTGAGCGTGCTTTTGGTGTTTTGAAATCATGTTTTCCTATATTGAAGAGGATGGCACCATTCCTGTTCGTGACACAAAGAAACATTGACATGGCATGTTTCCCGCTCATAATTTTATAAGGAGAGAAGGAATGAGTGATGAGTATTTTGCACGATACGATGAACCCAATGTCTCATTTCGAACTAACAATGTGGGCGTTGATGATGATGAAGACGAGATTCCAACACATGGTACTACAGCAGACCATGAATATATGACTCAGTTACGAGATGAAATTGCTGATCAGTTGATGCACAATATAGATTGAATTGTTTTAAATGAAATTGTTATTGTAAAACTAATTTTTTTTATTGTATGACTAATTTAGATGCATGAATTTTATTTTCAATGTTATAAGACTATTATTATTAAAATTTTGGAGTTGGAAAATCATTTTATGTTTGTAAAATCATTTTATTTAAAATTTCAATTTATTTCAGCAGCCTGCAGACGTTAAAAAACAAACAGTCTTCTTATTGCAGACTGCAGACATTTGGTCCACCTCTTCTGCTGCAGAGGCTTACAGATGTGGTCCGCAGACTGCAGACATTTTGGCTTCAGAAAAACAAACAGCACCTAAGACTCAAAGTCCGAGTACCGAATCCGAGATAGCTTAGATGAGTCGAGTACCTTACGCTTCCGCAGTTGGCTCGATCATGTATGCTATGACTTGTACTCACCCTGATGTGGCCTTTGCTTTGAGCATGGTCAGTAGATATCAAGGGAAACCTGGTAGAGCTCATTGAATTGTGGTCAAGAATATCCTTAAGTACCTTCGGAGGACCAAGGAATGGTTTTTAGTCCTTGGAGGGAGTGATGACTTAAAGGTGCGAGGGTATAGTGACGCCAGCTTCCAAACCGACAGAGACAACTACCGTTCGCAGTCGGGCTGGATCTTTACCCTTAATGGAGGAGCAGTAACCTGGAAAAGTTCCAAGCATGAAACTGTAGCTGATTCAACGTGCGAATCACAGTACATTGCAGCGAGTGAAGCGTCAAAGGAGGCGATATGGTTAAAGAACTTCATTGGTGACCTTGGAGTTGTGCCTACCATAAAGGAGCCTATGGAAATTTTCTGTGATAATGAAGGAGTGGTTGCCTTGACCAAGGAACCGAGGGATCATGGTAGATCCTGGCATATCGACAGGAAGTGTCACTTTATTAGAGATCAAGTAGAAGAAGGACACCTCGTGGTTAAGAGGATATCATCAGAAGATAACCCAGCAGATCCGCTTACAAAGGGACTGAGTAGGGTTAGGCACTTGCAGCACGCTAGGAGCATTGGGCTGAAGGATGATATTAGTTTAGATTAGATAGTTTGGAAACTCGTAATAGATAAATGTAGTTGACATTTGATGATTAAATAAAGTAGTATTATTTAAAAGTTTTGTCTTATGTTAATTGTTTAACTATTGTTTCACTTTGCATGTTTTGACTTCCAGAATAATTGAGTTTATTAAGAATAATCGAATTATTCAAACGATCCATAATTGTTCATATGTTGGAAGTAGGTATGAATGAAGATTGTCATGAATTGGTGTGTAGATTGTCTAAATGGTATTAGACATAGCAAAAGGATTTCTACGACGTTCATGAGTGCTTACGAACAAGTTTTGAGCATTCGAATAAACCTGCGCTTGCTAGAATCACTTCATGGAATGTACCGCAAGTGATCGCAAGACGATAATATCATATGGTCTTGAAACCAAGATATATGGTTTATTGTTTACTAATTGGCTATGCATTGATAATTCGAAACCGCATCAGTAAATTGATGTCATAAAATGCATTATTGTGTATAGTTGATTAGTGAATAAGTAAATGCGATATCACGGTCGCTCGATGATTTGATTTGACTTATGTGTTGGGCCCGGTCAAGACTGAATTGATGTGTTCAATTAAGTTCTATGTCAAGTAAATATGAGATCGAGAAACTAATTGCTAGACAATAAGTATGACAATGTTTCATGAGATTGTCTGCACGATATCAAAACAGAGGATTGTACGATCCCTTATCTAAAGGACAGGATACTAATAAGATCAGAGTTGACAGCATCTTTGAGAGCTACGATCGCTAATTGGATTGTATTTACATTTTATAGTTACTAGACTTATCCAAGTGGGAGACTGTTGGATTAGTGTCTAAGGCTGTAACTATATTTGGTAAGTACTTGACCCGGTTGTGCATGGTCCTTTTGGGTTGCCTTCACCATAGCAACTTGACAGGGTGATTTATATAGAGAGAAGAGATATTATTATTAAAGTATTATAAGAATAATATGTTAAAGGAATAATAATATTATTTTATTGATATAAGTCATAAATTAATTAGGAATTAATTTGGTGACTTAAAGAGATTAATTGAATAAACGGGCATAAACTGTCAAATGTGTGATAGTTGTGTTTTGGGCTATGAATCCTTATAGATAATAAGGGGGGGGGGATTTGTAAGATAAGGATATCTTAAAATCTTCCAAGGTTATCATCTAGAAGGATCTTTTGATTGTGTTGAGGCTAAGTTATCCAATTTGGGTTTAGGGTGAAACCCTAGGAGCTCATAGTATAAATAGATCCCTTGGGTGAGGGAAATCAGCCACTCTATGATTGAGGAAACCCTAGGACTGATTTCTCACCTCTCTCCTTCTCTCAAATCATCCTCTTTCTAGTAGGTGTTTGTAAGCCATTAGAGGAGTGACAATTGTGACTCTAAGCTCCAAGAACAAGAAGTTTAAAGCAAGGAACTCAAGGTATTCTTCTGGATCTAATTTCATATGTTATGAATTGTTTGTTTACACTAGATCTATGAATGAAAGTCTTGGATACATTGCATGTTCAATTAGAGAAACCTAGATCCAAGCATTATGGTTTGCATGTGCACATAGGAAAGTTCTTATGGCTCAAACCCATCACTTTCAACGATGCATGATGGTAATATTCCACGACATGGTGGAAACATTTATGGATGATTTTTCTATTTTTTGGCTCTTCTTTTAATGATTGTCATACTAACCTTGACTTGATATTTGCTAGGTGTGAAAAGACCCATTTGGTCTTCAATTGGGAAAAGTGTCATTTTATGGTGAAAGGAGGAATTGTTTTAGGCCATAAAGTATTCAAAGCGGGGATAGAGGTGGATCAGGAAAAATTGATACCATTGCTAAATTACCCCACCAACCAATGTAAAGGGCATTAGGAATTTTTTGGGTCACGCGGGTTTTTACCACCGTTTCATAAAAGATTTTTCCAAAATAACTAGACATTTAACTCAATTGCTTTTGAAAGATACACCTTTTAATTTTTCTAAAGAATGTTTAGCTGCTTTTGAAATTTTGAAAGAAAAATTAACTAATGCCCCGATCATTATCACCCCGAATTGGAACTTACCATTTGAAATAATGTGCGAAGCGAGTGACTTTACTTTAGGAGTTGTACTTGGCCAAAGGGTTGATAAGCACTTTCAACCCATTTATTATGCAAGCAAGACATGTGGCCCAAGAAAACTACAACACAACCGAGAATGAATTGTTAGTCGTGGTCTATGCCTTTGACAAATTTCATCCATATCTTATTTTGTCTAAAACTGCTCTTTTACTGACCATTGTGCTATCAAGTATTTGTTTGCCAAGCAGGATGCGAAGCCAAGATTGATCCAATGGGTGCTTTTACTTCAAGAATTTGACATAGAGATCAAGGACAAGAAAGGGATGGAAAATGTAGTTGCTGACCATCTATCTAGACTGAAAAATCCAGAAAAGGACAAGATGGATGACAAGGGTGTTGGTGATGGCTTCCCGGAAGAATACTTGATGGTGATTATGGGGGAAGAACCATGGTATGTAGACATTGCAAATTTCTTGGCTTACGACTTTCATCCAAAAAGACTCACTCACTAGCAGAAAAAGAAGCTCTTTTCAAAAATTAATTTTTTTTATGGGATAAGCCTTATCTTTTTAGCAGCTGTACTGATGGGAATATTAGAAGATGTGTTTTTGGCAATGAAATCTGTGACATTCTAGAGCATTGCCACAATGGGTCGGTAGGAGGACTTCATGGGGTGCAATACATAGCCAAGAAGGTGTTTGATGCGGGGTTTTATAGGCCCACCATCTTCAAAGATGTTGCCACCTGTGTTAGAGAGTGTGATGCTTTCCAGAGGATGGGTAATATTTATACAAAGAATGAAATGCCTCAAAAGAACATCCAAGTGTGTGAAATATTTGATGTGTGG